GATTCCCGACTAAAGTAACATCTCTAATTAGATATCCTATTTTGATTAAAGTGATCAATTTGAATATAATTCTCATAATCTTGTACTTTTTATTTCCAAAGCGGACAATCCCGAAACGAGTGGTACAATTCTACCCTATTAGCCTATGCAATATTTTCTATAAGATTCTCACAAAGATTATTGTGAGCCATCTAAAACCTATCTTTTTTTAGTCCTTACTCTTACTCGGAGTTAGTTATATTTTTTGGAGGAAAAAAAAAACAAAAAACATTATTATTGCTTAAGAGGTTATTTGTTCTATACAAAAAAAAAAAAAAAAAAAAAGAAGAAGAAGAAGAATGGATGGGCATCAAGATTGATGTAGAAAAAATCAACAAAAGGCTATCTAGGTGGCGAAGAAGCATCTTTTCTTTAACTAAAAGGATTACACTCACCCAATTTGTTTTATCAGTCATTTCAATTTATAACATGTCAATTATTAGATTTCTACTTAGTGTTATCACTAAGATGATTGAGAAGTATTGTTGTAATTTCATATGGAGTACTTCTAAAGAGCATCATAAAGTTCACTTGATTTCTTAGAATACTAGATGTCAACCTAAATCTCTTAGTAGCTTTGTTTAAGAAGACGGTTGGAGGTTAATAATGTACTTCTAATGAAAGTTAGGAGAAAGATTTTTTCAAATAACTTTAGTTTTTGGGTTGAAGTGTTGATATAAGATGGACTTTCAACAAATTCCTTCCACTATTATCCATTCTGGTGCTTCGACTTGTGGAGGGGGACTAACTAGAGTTTGGAATAAGGTCTCGCAATGGTGTTAGATGGTCTATTAGTTATGGTTTTTATGTTAGATTCTGGATGGATCTATGGGTTGCTAATTTAGGGCCTTTTTGTAAGCATGCCATTCATCATATTCTTGGAGGCATTTTTGATTGCTATGTTATAGAATTTATCGATCATTCCAAGTCATTCGAAGTGGGATATGTTCTATGGCTAGCTTCCTACTTATGTGTGTCTATGGATTATTGGTATTCTTTCTTTTAAGATGAATGTTGGTTGTGATAAAATATGTTGGGGTCTTTTTATCAATGGCGCTTTCTCTACCAAATTTGCCTATGAGTCCATTTCGCATACTCCACCTAGTGTTACTACCGATAGGTGGATTTTAGTTGGCATTGGAATGATCCCCGAAGAATGAGATCATTTTTATGGATAACCAATAATTAGATAGTTCGTAGAGGTCTAACGACTCAATCCGCTTGTTCTCCTTAGTTAGCATGTAAACACTATTTTATTTTATATTATAGTTGTGATATATATTTCCATAGATATAAATTGATATATGTTTACACATATGAATAGATATGAATGTATATGTTTAGATAAACCCATGAATAAACGCTAGGTCCACCCGAATTAGATTATGATCAAATATACACCCATTATGACCAGCAAAATTTAGGTCTATTGAGCTGAGGTAACAGTTATATGCTCAAGTGTGTTAAACTGTTCTATCCCTTTATCAATAAAAATACAACAAATGATTGAAAATTGGTTCCAATTACAGTTTTGAAAATTCTCAAAACCCTAAAATAAAGTCATATATGATTTTTAGATTTTGTTAGCTCATTATTCAAATATCTAAAGTTTGTAGCAATTGCTCTTTTACTGTTTCAGATTTAATAATAACATATCCTCGATCGACTTTTATCAATTAAAACTAAATTAAATGTCTATTAAGCAAAATTCCAAAATATAAACAACAAACACCATGCCCATTACTCGGGAAAATAGTTCATCTGGTTTGGATGGAAGAAAAGAATGGCAAAAACATTATAAAAAAAAAAAATTAGAAAACTCGATGTAAAGAGCCATCTGGATGCTTCCAAATGCCAGTCATGGTTGTGTTGAGGTACTATATATACACGAGTCATTTAGTGATTAACACACAAAAAGCCTATTAGTAATAAAAAATAAAAAAATAAAAAAAATCTTGTTAGTAATTGTAGGCTGATCCGAAATGTTAGTTGCTTTAAGATTAATATTGTTCTGGAACCTAACGCTGTGTTTTGGTATTAAGTAAAATTTTGAAGGAAAAATATTGAGGAAGTATATATATATATATAGATAAAGGTATGATCATATCTTGATCCGAATTCAAATTCAATTCATTATAATTAAATGGATACAGCAAATAATTTTTCAATTCGAGTCCGATTATGGTCCGAATCTATTAATAATTTGAATCTATCTTAATCCGATCTGATCCAAAATTAAAAATAATATTTTTATAATATATATAATATTTAAAAAATAAAAATATGTATATAAATATGAAATTAGGTTGAAATTTAGCGTTTATTTACTATAAAATTCAAATAATGCATATCATTCCACAATGATGACGTTCTCAAAAAATTAAATATAATTTTTTTTAATTTTTTTATTTAATTTCGTGATAAATTGACTTTTATATATATATAATAAGAATTGGTGTTATTATATTTGTCATCACCCTATTTTTATTAAAAAAAATAATTAAAAATCATAAAAAAAAAGTAAGAAAAGGAGAAAAAAATAAAGACCCGAAGAACAAACCAATTGATTGGAATCAAGGTAGAATTGAAGAGAATAAAAAAGAAGGCTGATTAAAAAAAATTCCTAATTCAAAGATACTCTAGTATTTTGGGCATAACGTCACGTATAAAAATCTAATTCATGAGATTCGTGCGGCAAATTAAAGTTAAAAGATAACAATATATATAATTTATATGTTTTAAGTTTGATCCATATCTACTCTCATTCTAGAAAAAAATCAGTACAAGAAGTAAAATTATTAATGATTATCATGCATTTTTAATTCTAGAGATTGTGGAGGCAATAACTACGGTATATAATTGGCTTTCAAATTGAAATATAAAACCTTATGGTATTTTATTTAGTTAATTCATTACATTTCTACTCTTTATGCAATAACTAATTATTAAAAATATATGATAATATTAATAAATTTTCTTCTTTCTTTTTTTGCAAAAAAATTATTTATTATTTGTTTCTTTTAGTTTTATTGTACTTCTTACCTAGTTTAAAATAACATTTTATTAAAATTATTTGATTTTGTGCTTTTGAATTGTGTAGCATTTTGAATTTTTTTATAAAATTGATAGATGAAATATTATTTTAATATATTTTATTATACATGTAGTAGTTGAATTATACTTTATATTCAAGTACTATATTAAAATTAGTAAGTATAAATTTTCTACAAAAACTAAGTAATAAATCCGATAGAACTCGAATTCGATTCGAATCGTTAGAATACGAATTCACATTTTCAAAATTCAATTCGAATTTACAAGATTCGATCCGATCTATTTTATTAAATAAATTCTACCCGAATCTACTATGATCCGATCCAAATTCGACCCATTAATAGCTCTAGATAAAGGGGCGTAACATTAAAAAAAAAATTACAAAAGATATATATTAATGTGAGATATCAATTCCAATTATCGTTTGATCTGCAATCTCTACAAGGGAAGAATCAAAATAGTGTACATAAAGAGTATAAAGTAGATCTTGATTATTTAAGGGAATAATAGCATCTCCAATGCTCTCTTTATATTAAGATTTTTCTTTATAATAAAGAGGTTTGGCCCAAATTCTATCTCCAATACTCTTTTTATCACAATCTCTATTTTTAAAAGTAAGATACATAGCGTCTTTGACTCTCCAATACTACGGAATCTAAATAACTCTTTATCTTATATTTCATTAATAAAAATTATTATTTTCTATGTCACTATGGGAGGTTGAAAAAAGAGATGGAGGGAGATTAACCAAAAAAAAAAAAAAAAGGGAGGAAAAATTTCAGAATTAAATGTTTTATGAATTTTATCAAAATAAAGAGTTAAAGTAGAGAGTAGCATTGAAGAGGATATTGATCTTCAATCTATATAATTAATTGTACTCTCTATTTACATAAAAAAAAATACTAGCTAAAAGTAGAGAGCATCATTGAAGATGCTCTAAGATTCAAAGATGAAGTGTTTAAAAAAAAAATGAAGAATAAGGTTTAATGACGTTTGGGGGGTAATTAAATGCGAATGGTGTAAATAAATAATAATAGTGACCCATACTTAATAAAATAAATTTATAAATAATATTAATGGAATCCATACTTAAAAAAAAAAATGGAACAATAATTATAAAAAATTGATGAAAAAAGAAAGTAGATGGTAATTATGTTTGAAAATTGATTATAAAAATATGATGGGATCCACAATCTATCAATTTTGAAGAGAGTAACAATTTACCCTTAATACATGGTGGGTAATCTTTCTACCACATAGCTTTTCCTTCCCTTAAAAATTTTTGTTAAAAAAAAAAAGAAAAGAAAAGTTGCAAGGATAATTTTTCAATATCCTTTTATCCTCATATCAAATGCATCTTATAATCTTAAATGTAAAGGTTTTTGGTATTATTGTAGATTTAAAATATATATATATATATATATATAAATCATAATTGTTGTGATGAAATCAATCTAGCTGAACTTAAAACCAAATTAAATAATAGAAGGTAAAAAATTTCTCCCAAAGATTTACATGATTTAATGGAGAATTAAAGTAAAATATACTTTGTCATATATATATATATTTCAGCCAAAGCTAAAAGGAGCGTATTGCTTAGCACACCAAAAAATGATGGGGTGTAAAATCAATAATAGTGAACCAAGTGGGAGTTGGAAAGGTAGAGTGAGTGATAAAGACAACGACACGTCACGTGTGTCCGACTTCTCTTCATCTGAAGATATCCCTTTCCCCTTCTCATTTCCATTCCATAACGGCTATGCAATGAATATAGCCGTTATACCTTCTTTTTCACCTCCTCTATAAACCTAACTGCCTTTTCACTCCTCTGTACGAACCCAAGAAAATCAAAATCATTGTTACTTTCCTTACAAAAGTCAGTTGCAAAGTACAGCAGAAACAAATCAATGGCTCAGGCAACGGCAGCTCTCTCTCTTCTGCTCCTACTACTTTACCTCAATTCAGGTATAATGTCTCGTCTCATAGGTGTAAAAAAAGGCTAGCTGGTGTTGATGAAGTCACTGCTACTCTTTCACTTTCTATGCCTGTTTCCTTCGTTGAAAGCACAATCTGGTTGAATTTCTTGTATCTTTTTCCTCAAATACTCCTCCTATATATGTATATATATTTTAGTTGGTTCTTTTTAAAAAAAAAAAAAAAAAAATCTGAGTTGGGTTTATTTATAAGGATTACAACAATAAATGGCCTGATTTCGAAATTTTTCTCTATCTGTTCATAATTTTGCAGATGGAAATTCGGTCGTGGCTAATGAACAGGTATAATTAGTGCTATCAACTTCTTTTTCCACACACACATGCAATAATACAATGTAACAAATCCTACTTAGATTGGGTAAATTCTTGCTTGTTCAATATTTGTCCTAATTCATAGAAATTTCCTTTGACAATAAATAATATTGCAGAAAACTTGGTGTGTAGCCAAGCCATCGTCAGACCAAGCGACTTTACTAGCAAATATCAATTACGCATGCACTCACGTGGATTGCCAGATTATACAAAAGGGTTGCCCTTGCTTTTCCCCAGAAAGTCTCATAAACCATGCATCAGTAGCCATGAATCTGTATTACCAATGTAAGGGAAGGAACCATTGGAATTGCGATTTCAGGAACTCTGGCCTCATTGTCGTGACCGATCCAAGTAAGTACTACATGTATGATGCAATCTGTTGAATAATCTGCCGGCAACAATGAAGACATGGTTATGCATGCTTATGACCATTTTTTGTGTCAACTTGCAGGTTACAGTAACTGCATCTATGCCTAATCCTTGGTCCCCAGGAAACAGCATTTGCCCGTTAGAAGTTAAAATAGTAGTGGTGCTTTTTTCTTTTTCTTTTTTCGAACTTGTAATTCTCATTTACTTGCAATATATTGCTGCAAAGAAGCAGCAGAATTGAGTTAAGTCTATACACTTTCTTGCCTAATTTTGTCAAGCCTCATCTAATTGCTGAACGTAAAAGTGCAAAAACCTGATAAAGGATCCAAAATTCAATAGCAAGCTCCTCAGGGATCTGAAAGGAAAATATTCACAAATTCACAACACGATTGCCTAAAACATAAACTATGATAGGAGTAGAAGTGTGTGAGGGTTTGGGATGCAAGCAGCAACTGGCAAGTGCTAATTGATTCAGGATCAGAACTCAGAACTCAGAAGAACCATCTAGTTGGGCTCAGGTTCGGTCCTCAAAATTGAACCACTTAAATGTTGTTTTGATGGTTGGGCTAGACTTTAAATGGAACACATCTACCTCCGGTCAATTGTGTAAATGTAACCATGCATGAGTCTGGCTCGATTGGAATCCATATCTAACTGCTTTTATTTTATGAAGACAAATTAAAGGTATATAAACAAGACTTACAATTTTAAATTCTAACAAGGGGAATACCCCTTTTCTTTCTGATACGATCGTCAGCCAAGTTGAAGCATCAACCATCCACCACATTATCTGCATATTTATTGCAAATCAGAGGAGGGGACAGAGAGAGAATGGCCAGACAAGTTCTATTCATTTTTATTTTTTTTTAATGTGAGAGTTGGGTGTTATTGTCATAAATTAATTTGTTATTACTACAACTTTCAACATATTTTATCAGCTCAGCAAATCTTTTAGAATATAGGTCAGCAGAGATCCCGCTTAAGACATATAATACATATACATGGGGACTGCAGGATGGACAGTCTATTATATTAATTAATAGCTTAGTTTTTTTTTTTTTTAATGATTAAAAAACAAAATAATTGATGGCTTTAGGCCTCACCATATCTTTCATATTTACTAAGATATTAGTCAGGATGGTAAAATTACCTACTTCAGTAGAAACCCAACAAAATCTATTCCGACGGGCATCAATGAGTACGAGGAGAATTTTCACCGAACTAACACACACACACACACAGATATATATATATATACACACACTTTTCATTAAATATATTTCTTAAATAATGAATACTTTAAAATATATTTGTTTTAAAGTTTACATTTCGATTATAACTACATATATACCACGATAAAATTCAATATTTATATGAATTTGATATTTATTTTTGCATTACATATTAAGTATCAAATATTACGTTGTAATTAAAAAAAATACAATATATTTTTTTTATTAATTAAAAATCCTCCATTCCAACCCAAATCTGATGGGAAAAAAAAATTCTTTTTCAAGCCCCGAATCTGATTAATTATTATGGACCAAGAACGGGGAAATATGATCTGTTTCAAACGTGATCCATTGACATCCCTTAATTAATACTCCATTCATCCCTTAATATATATATATATATTACTACAACCAACTTTAGCTTTTCTTCCTCTTTTTCTCAAAAGAAAGGAAAAGCTTTAATGTGCTATTTGATTATAAGAAATAAAGTGGTGAGAATGAGAATAAAAGTTTTACTTTCACCTTATAACCGTATGGTTCAAAAAAATAAAGTGTGATTGGGAATTAAGAGTGAGAGTGAGAATAAAAATTTAACTTTATTCCCACATAAAAAGTGAGAATATATAAAAATAAGGAATGTGAATCATTTTTTTTTCAAAATAATAATATATTATTTTTGTTTATTGTGTATTGACCACCACCACAACCACCACCTCTATTATTTTTACTATCATTATAGTTGATGAAATTATTTTTTAATCATTATTCTTATTCATATTAAAAATTAGATAATAAAAAATTTAAATTTCATTTCGATTCTTTATTTGTGTTCCAAATACGGTATGAAAATACAAATGTTATTTTTATTTTTTTATTTTCATTCTCATTTTGCATTCTCATTCTAAGCCTTTCATTCCCGATAACCAAACAACACCTAAAGAAAAATCATAATTTTAATGTTTACAAGATTTAAGAGTCACAACTTCTCTATTATTCTCTAACAAGATACTAATAAAGCTTAGAAGAATAGCCAAATTATAAGAAATTTCTAACGAAAGGGAGTAGACATGAAAAACAAGTCAATCCATATAGGCTTCTTTATAAATATGAAAAATTTTAACTTGCAACAACCGTTGAAGGGTATAATAAATGTTGTAGACTAATTGGCTATAAACACCACAATTATCACCTTGAGAAGTTAGTAACTAAGTGGCTAACTTTGAATTAGTTTCAAGTAATGCTTGTCTATAACCAACGTAATATGCCATCTCTAACCCAACAAAGATACCCTAAAGTTCAGCACACATAACCAAACAACCATCAATATGAAAAGAAAGTCTAGAATCCAAATGTCGAATCTTCTTGTAAAACACCACCGATAGTAGATGTGCCAATAGAACTATAAAAACTAGCTTTAATTTAACCTAACCTCTATGTGGTTTTTGCCATCCAATAAGCACATCATATTTCATGCAAACCGGCTTAGCAAGGTTAGTCATCATCTCAACTAGTAACAATTTGACAAGTTAAGGAGAAGACAACAATTGGATTTATAAACGACATGAAACTTTTCTAAGAAAGGATCTTATTAAGTCAAGACCACAATAGCCAACAACAAAAGCCAAACCATCTACTCCATAAAAACTAAATTGTTGTGATAACTTTGCTCAAATGTAAGATTATCCAAAACCAATCTTTATGATCAAGTTGAAAAAATATTGTAACACTCGAGAGGCACCACACAAGTCCTATAATGGTTTAGCATACAAACAATCTATTGTAACATGAAAGACTTATTCAATCGAAGACCATAATGACAACAAGCTAAGTCATTAGTTAACCCTATGCTCATTGGTGAGTAATTTTCCTTGAATGGATAACATAAAAATAATCTTATCCATTAAGGACCATTCTAATGCCAAACCAAACACCATCTAATATTAGCATCACTTGTAAGAGGTTTCAAAAGGATCACATTGATAATTTGATACTAAAAGCATCATTATTGAAAGGACTCCCAATAGGATTTGTCATTATCTATATTAATTGGAATAGGAAAAAAAATTCAACAATTCTTAAACAAATTGAAGTAGGAAGAAGGCCATTAAACTTCTCTCATTACCACTAATAAGAATCGAGTAACAAAATCCCTAACACATGAGTGTAATATGTCCTCAAGAATAAGATTAATGATATGATCACGTAGAGGACCCAAATTAAAAACCCAAAACTCATTCTAAAAGTCGACATGAAGACCATCTCTAATATACTATGTAATCACTTAACAAACCTTATTCCAAACTTGTGAAATTCTCCTCCACAAATCAAAATCACCAATGCTTAGTGTGTAGGAAAGAATATGATGAGGATCCAACTTGTATTTTCTATAGAGAACTTAAGCCCAAAAGGCTAAATTTCTTATAGAGGATCCCCCCTCCCAAATGTTCATGAGTACAAAAAATTGTTAATCTCTTGCATCGACCTCGAACCAAGACCACCATTGAGTTTGGATTGACATAGTATCTCAAGAAATCAAATGAACTTTTTTATGATTCTTAAAGGTTCCCCATAAAATCCTCCTATAACACTTCTCAATGGAGTCTATTATAATCTATTTTTGAGTCTCTATTTATATCCAAAAAAATCAAAATTCCAAAAAAAAAAAAAATTACTTATTGCCTATGTTTTTATTTTTTTATTTTTTTTTTTGTAATTTTTAGGTGGTTTTATAATTTTTTAAGATTTTAGGATATATTAGTACTTATGATTTGTGAAAATGCAGTAAATAATAATAATAATAATAAATTGCATTGGAATTAAGCTTATAATGGTTTTAGATTTTAGTTTCCAATTCATACGTAAGGTCGTAATAGTCCGGGATAAATTGTTGGGTGAGTTATATATTATTCGAAAGATATTGGAGTCTAGTTTCCAATGCATCAATGATGTAGATGCCTATATAGTAGAATGTATCAAATTCATAAACAAGAGATTCATTTAGTGGCAAGGAATTACACCGAAGCTAAACTTACAATGGTTTTAGATTTTAGTTTCCAATTCGGACATTAGGCTATAATAGTACTAAACAAATTATTAGGTAAGGTATATATTACTGGAAAAATGTTTAAGTCTAGTTTCTAATGCATGAAACGAGTGTGTGATTTTTAGCATCCTACCGAAGTTATGGTCCTTTTATGACAAGTATGCAAGATGAACCTTTATGAGTGATGGAGTTTGCTAGTCTAGAACTTGAGAAAATCAATCTTTGGAACCATATGGTGAAGGAAAAGAAGAAAATAAGCTGGAAAGTCATGATTGGACATCCATAATATTGAGGCAAGAATACCATTAACCATGGTGATTTCTTTGAACGTAATGTGGTTAAGAACGTGTTTATATTTGATACTTATTAGTTTTTGAGATTACTAAAGATTGGGACTCACTTCCAATCTTTAATGAGTACTTAAATGATGATGTTGATGATGTGCATTTTGCTATTAACATTGCATTGAATGGGATGGTTACTATTATACATCATAATAAGAAGAAGCATGGTAAGATGCTTGATGTTGTAAGTGAAAGTGATGTCATAGATGGTACAACTTGTAGGAGTGTTATTGCCGACATAAGTTATAAGGGAGAAGTAGTTGATCATGAGGGCACTAGAGGGAGCTTAGGAACTACCATGAGTGGATATATAATTAGGGAAGTTCTTGTCATAGAGTTTGAGGCTTAGTATTAACAAACTCGATAAAGAAAAGAAAGTAGTTACTATCATGATTATTCGGACCGAATTTGGAGCTACCGTTAAAACACAAAGGAGTGAATTAAGAGCTACCATAATGGAAAATAAAAAGGGAAAGGATGCTACTAAGAGAGAAAGAAAGCATGGAGGTCAAGCTAGAATTGCTAAAGTTGTCGAAGAGATGATGAGGGACAATAGTGCTGAAATTTCTATCATAGAGAAGCAATAGATTAAGTCATCAAGTTTTGCACTAAGGCAAGTTACAAAAAAGAGAACTTAGTGTGAGTTAGTAGAAGAAAAAAGAAGCTAAACATGAAGAGAATTTCAAACTTAAAATATTGAAGGTCTATTCTATGTTCTCAAGAGAATGGGAGAGCATACTAACAAGATTGACTTACCCGGAGATCATCTAGTCTCAACCACATTCAAAGAATCTGATCTTACACCTTAGTTTGGAGAAAAAGATGAAGATTAAAATGCTAAGTTCAAGTCTTTTTTCAACTCGAAGAGCATGATACAAGAGTTTCCCCTTAAAATTCTATAAGGCCAAAAGTTTCTAGTTTGGCGAAACTTTTAGGCCATTCTTTTTTCCTTGTCTTTTCTTATGTTTTTATTAAGTCCTAATTGGGTTGGATAATTATTTTATTTAGGTGTTTTAATTATTTTGTAATTAGGATAATTAATTAAAATTAGTCCTCTTGATTATTTTAATAAGTGGCAAAATATACTGCTATATTTATTAGGTCATTGACCCATTGTGTTATGAATTTTTATTTGTTTATGATTATTATTTAATGAGTCCATATAATATGTGGATCCATATTAATTGGGCTAACTTAATTAATTCCTAATTGAGTGTGAATTCACGTAAGTCCAAATCTTTTAATTAGAAGTTAGGTTTGGTCTAAGAAGGAATTTAACCATAGCCAAATGTGTGTGTATCTATTTAAGCAACCCTTAAAGCTTTTGTCAAGGAGCTTTTGTTGAATATTATTGAATGAAATTAGAGATTTTTTTTTCTATATCTTTTTTATTTTCTTTTGCTTGGACTAGCTAGGATTTTCATAAAGCATATTCTTAGAGTGATCAACTAAGGTGATTTTTTAATTAACAATTACATCAAGTGGACTCCTTCACTCGAAATAACCTAATCACCAAAACTCTATATTTCTCTCTTGTCTCCTTCACCTAGAAACAAACAACTAGAGGCATAAATAATCAACGACTACCTTATTGCTCAAACAAATGCAGGTATTATTGGTATTTGATTCTTTTTCCTTTTTAGCCTTATTAGAAAACATGTATCTTTTTCCCTATCTAATTCATTCACCTTCTCACTCTACGTTTAACAGCTTTTAACCATGGATAGCATGACATTATATAATGAAAATAGATTAACCATTAAGCACTTACTCCAACCATCGATTGACAATGCCGAGGTTTTCGGATACCTATATTATTTTCAAAAAATATGTATGTAGGGGGAGGTGTATGTATGTGTGTGTGTGTGTGTGTGTGTGTGTGTGTGTGTGCGCACTTTTTTTTTCAAAAAAGACTACCAAAAACACACCTTACTAATCAATTATTTTTTAATAAATGGTTTGTTACACAATTGAGGCCTCAATCATCAATAGTCTATATCAATGCAAGTTTTAGATGATGGTATCCGACGTGCCCGATCCGTCACCACCCAACTCATAAATCAATAAATGTCTACTCATGCACATGGCATACATAATAAGAATCTTATTCCATATTAAATAATTTTTATCACCATTAATTAACTACTCCCTTTATAATTATAATATTTTGATCCCCTTTTATGCAATGAACATATAGAAAGACATACATCTTCTCTTATATTATCTTAAGCTATTTTTTTATTTTTTTCCTAGATATAACATCACTTGCATCATTCAAGATCGGACGTCCGAAGTAAGACTGTCGCTTACCAAAGAAATAGCTACATCATATTTTGGATACGCATGCAAAGAGCTAGTGTTGGACTTTGGTTATGATGACAACAACATAGTCCTACAACAATTGCTAGATGATTTTCTCCAACATAATTTTAAAAACTCCAACAACACTTTACAACTTATAGGAGTCAACATCTCTTATTTTCTATCTTTGATTCTCTATATAATGTAACATGTGTACTTTACTCACATAATATTGTTGTCATTAAATACCGACTTAATCATTAGAGTGGTTTCGTTGAACATTTTAGACATTACTAAGCGAGTCTTGAGCTTCATGTGTGCGGGATTTAGGAGAACACCATTATTATTTTTCCAACTCCTCAAGAAGGGTGATTTTCGTGTACAATAAATATAGATGCTCGAAATCTTAGATATCATCAATGACATCGTCTGTTAGAAATGAATTTCTCAACCTCTAATTCGACAACAACAATGTTCTTCTCGTTTTGTTTATCATGCCAAACTCTTAAATCCTCGCTCAAAAAAATTAAATCTGATTTGTACAATCATGCCTCACTCAATTATCCATCATTTAGATGAGGTCATATTTTTCTCTATTCAAAAAGCACATCACTATATAAATGGCACATAAGTTTGCCATTTGCCATAATTATCACCTTGTAGTAGAAAGGATAAGCAATTTGTTTGTTTATGTTTCAATTTTATATATGCCATGTTCATGTCTTTACCATTATATTTGCACTGCAAGACGTACATGCATGTACAACATGAGCATGAATACATAAATGCTTGGAGAAATTTTATTGCTATTATGTCTTAACATCTTTAGTCCAAGCATATTTTACATGATGAATATATATATATATATATATATATATATATATATATATATATATATATATATATATATATTCTTTTTGACATGCATACATGTATCCCAACATCTTTTTTAAGAATATATCAATTATTGGTTTTCATTAATATTTTATTATTATGGTGAAAAATAAGTCAAAAAATAGATAAAATTCGTAAGGCCATCATATGGTCATGCTTTTAATTTACAACACAAATACAATATGTGTAAGAAATATTCCTATAATGTGGCTCATGTGTCATGTTTTATTTTTTAAATCTATAAGTGACAATTTAAAGACTTAGAGCCCAATGGACTTTAGTGGTGGGCTAGGCACATCCATGATGGACGGAGGTGCAAGATTAGGATAAAGAAAGAGTCACCGGTCTAGCGATATAAATAGTAAGTAAAGCTTGTGTTTTTCATCGGTACAAACAAAACCCTAAAGTATTGGCATAGACTAGAAGGCTCTCTCTCCTTAGCGACTTCAGTTTTCTTTCAAGCAACATCTTGAGCACTTAATCAATCATGGTAAGAGATATGTATCCTATTAATTTTCGATGTGCTTATATGCTTAGGCATATTTAATATCTTATATATGGTATCGAGCCTCCTTCTTACCATATTGATTAGTGTTAATAGAAATCCATTAATTGTATTTAATGAACACATATTATGATTATTTAATGGATGTGATATTAAGTATGCAATATGGGTATTTTAATTATATTATTTTTCTTGTCATTAATCGGGTGGGATTTCTACAGAAAAATCGATATCAAGGTAGAAATCGTTAAATCAAATATGTATAACTGATCTATGACATTTTTTCTATCTTTCTGGAGCTTGGAGGAGAGGCCACTCATCATATGCTAGCTAGAGTATAAAACTTAGTCATGCCAAATTTCATCTCATTAAATATAACGTACATATTATCCAGCAAGTTTCTTTTTATTGGATTAAAATAATGATAACAAACCAATATAGCATACGCATGCATGCATAAGGAATGTTAACAAATGGTACAGCTTGTCAAAATTGCATTTGTTTTTTACATATCAAAGCACATGGCTTGATCCGTGGCATGCATATTTTTGTCATTCATTTGAATCCATGGCATGCGTATTTTGTCATTTATTTAAATCCGTGGCATGCATATTTTTGTCATTTATTTAATGATTCAATATATGTGAATCACATGACCCTGATACGTGCATGCATATTTTTATGTTTCAATATATATGAATCACGTCCCTGGATTCGTGGCATGTATATAAATAACAAGCCGGATGTATATAAATAACAGCCCTGACTTATTAAAGTCCTTGTCCGTGGGGGCTCAAACAATAAATTTTTTGCTTGTAAATAATTTCTTTTAATTTTTTATGCATATATTATAGGCTCTGTTAGCATAAGTTATGATGCCCCGCCCCACTCTATTTCCTATTACTCAAATAGGAGTGGCCAAGCGAGGCGCGTTACGTTGACATGACCAATTCAACTTAAACCCTACTACGTATATGCTCGTTATCATAACAACATATTATGTATTGAAAGATGTACAATACGAATTACATTACAAGAATATTCACAACGGAAGAAAGTAAAAAATTTATTTACGAGTCTTCGTTTAAATATCTACCAATACCCCAACCCGGAACTTACAATTAAAATAAACTATGGTATGTTTGTCATGCGTGAGCCTTTTTGGAGGAACCGACATCATCCTTATCGATACTACAATCATCGTTACTTGTCATAACATGCAAATAACAACGAGGTGAGTCGAAGCTCGGTAAGTGGAGTGATGCATGTGATATGCAATGCTTTTCCGACTTCCCACCATACTTATTAATTTTAATTTCGGGTACCACGAGTATTAGCAAGTCTATTCTATTTTTAATCCAGGTGATTATCGAATCACCTTCGCTAACAACGAATTATCCATCGTTATAGCCATTGTTAGCGGGAGTCCATTGTCTAATAGTATAGGCACACGACTTAGAGTACGCATACAGTTAGACCGCCAATACCCATTTATTCTTGTTAGGTTACCAAACCCAATCATGGAAACCAATTTTCAATCCATTGACTTTTCTCAATCCGTCCCACAATGCACATGATGCACGTGATGTTATGTGTACCATACTAAACATATCCAATCCATACAAGATTCGATTTCATATATTTTCATA